CCAGTGCCTACAAAAGGGTCATTTTGCAGCACGACAATGCGACACCCCATGCCTCGGTCACGGATGCAGTCCTGGAGAGTGTATCCACGGATGGATGGAAGTTCGTCGTTCGTCGTCAGCCGCCCAACAGCCCTGACCTGAATGTCCTGGACCTTGGTTTCTTTGCATCCATCGAAGCTCTACAGTACAAGATGGTGAGTTCATCCATTGACGATGTGATTTTCTCGACGTTGACAGCTTTCGACCACCTCAGTGTCGACAAGCTGGAGAACGTATTTCTCTCGCTGCAGGCTGTGATGCGCCTGGTTCTTGAGCATCAAGGCGACAACCACTTCAAGTTGCCCCACCTACGTAAAGATGCATTGAGACGTGCTGGCAACCTCATGGCTACTGTGGCGTGCCCTGTTTTCCTCCTCCATGAGTCGGACATGTACCTCCAACCCCACGGAATTCCAAGCCTCGAATAGGAGTTATAGCCAATTAAATCAATACATTTGTTCATGGGCCAATGACAATAATATGTCGGTGGTAATATGGAAAAAGTTGTGTTTTGACATGTCGGTAGTAATATGGAACAGAGGAAGTATTGGTTTTTGCGCATCATATCTACCCACATTACAATACTTGGCTAAACATATAACGTGATCTCTCGGTGATCGGCCGAACGGTCTTAGCCAATAGAATCAAAACTTTCATATAATTGGGCAAAATGGATTACTGCATGCATTGAACCCTTCAGTATCTTATGGCGGGAAAGCATTTAACTTTATAGAGACAAAGGTGCTTTTTGAAATCGACATGCCGCCAAGAACGCCGTACACTGCCGAGGACATGCAAAATGCTGTAAAGGATGTAATTACTGGGCTATGCAAGATATCCGCTGCGTCCAATACTTACGGAATACCTGAACGGACACTGCGCACTCATGTGATTAATTACAGATCCCAAAACACGAGTGCCATCACTACGTTGGGTCCCAATCCGCTTCGGCCTTCCTCATACGAAGCCGCCTAGTCACGTGGATATTATCGATGCAGCGACATGGGCATCCTGTTGGCCGATCCGACATACAGTTCAAAGCGAGTCTAATGCTTGAGATAGTTCACGACACTTCCAGCCCCCGAACGCTGTCCTCAGGATGGTATGAAAAGTTCGTTCGACGCCATCCTGTCTTGAAGACAACAAAGGCACAAGGATTGAGCAGGGCCCGCCACAGCATTGACAAAGAGACTGACGTCGACTTCTTTCACGAGCTTGTCCATGCCATGTCCCTGGTGGATTTCGATCCTTCTCGGGTCTTTAACATGGACGAAACTAGCTTTTCCCCCAGCAAGACATGCAAGAAAGTTGTTGTACACCGTGGATCGCGAAACGTGTATGTCGAAGAAACGACTACTTCGTCACATGTTACGATTGTCGCATGCGTTGGTGCTGACGGCACTACGGTTCCTCCTCTATTTATTTTGCCTGGCGATCGCGTCTCAACACAAGTGTGCGACAGTTTGACCATTCCCGGAGCCGCGATCACTACGTCCGAAAAAGGCTGGTCGAACACGTTTATCTGTCGAAAGTTGCTGTCCATGCTCCACGATTCCATCCCGTCGTCAACGCCCCGACCAGTTCTTTTGGTTCTCGATGACTGCTCATCCCACTATTCCAACTACATCTTCGATGAAGCCCAGGCTCTTGGCATTCTTCTACAGTTCCTTCCTGCCAACTCAACCCACATCTTTCAACCTTTGGACGTCACTGTGTTCCGTCCGTTCAAGCAAGCGATTCGGGCGCAGATCGCTAATGGCAAGTGGGTTGACTTGAGCACAAATATCAACAAGCAAACAGCAGTTTCTATTGCCTGCCACATTTGGATGTCGTCGACGAACAAGTCATCCATTACGAACGGCTTTGCGTGCATTGGATTATGCCCACCTTCGCTGGAGAAGATGCTCTATCGACTTTCCATTTTCAAGTCATCCCCAGAAGGGTTTGTTGAAATTCAAGATCAATGGCTTCAACGAAGCGAGGAAGTTCGAAACAAGTTGCTTTTGTTGCCACCAAGGAAGAAGGTGAAAGTGGCGAGAAAAACACTGACAGTCAGCGGTAAGTTCACCTCCGCAGACTATCACGCACATCTCCAAGCTCAGACAGTTGCTCGTCCAAGTCGCAAAAAAGCGGCATTTTGTGTTGCTGAAGTGAGCAAGAGAATGTAGAAGCGATAACTGTTTGAAACGACAAGGAAAGATTGACTGCTTAAACATCACAGCTTCTTGGATTTTCATGGCTTCATTGGAATCATCACATTTAGTGTCACATATGAACAATGATATACAAAAATATAAATATTTCCCTTCAACCTCTCAAGTGATCCCGAGCGGACGGACTGAGGTTCCAGCGCACACTGACTATCTGGCATATCGTACGTCGACGCGGGGGATCGAACCCTGCACCTTTCGCTAACGATGCGAACGCTCAACCAGGTGAGCCATTTTCCACATTTTAAAAGAACGACAATTTTTGGTCCTATCAATTAAAAACCTCTTAAATATAATTCCTGTATAAATTTAATTATCCTTTTAAACCCTATTTTGATGACGTCATAAGCACGAGAAATTTCTCTCTAATTGCATAGTTTATTCAAGTATAAAAGTCGGCCGATCTCCGATTCTCTGTTTGAAAAGCCATTTTCAAAAAGTATTTGCTCCACGGTAAACCACCAAAACTGATTATGAATGAATTCATCTAATATAGCTTGAAGCAGGCTTTCAAGAGATACCACTTTCGTCAAATGGCATCATAAACTGAAAGAGGTATTGTCGTATGAAGTGACCTAAAATTCGGCTGATCATCGAGAGATCACGGTATTCTCTATGCTTTTGATTTTCTTTTCTTTGCCGATTAAAAATATTACAGAGCGATTTTGTTTGAATAGTTTGTTTCGTGGATGTTTCGTAATGGGGTAAATAAACGTGAATATGGTGAGTGATAAATATATTGGCAAAGATGTTAAATTTATGGGGTGAATTTTATGAAAAATATACTGATTAAACAAAATAAAAAAGATTATATGAAAAAAACAACAACAATCAATTCTTTAAAAGTTCTTTGGGCAATTATATATATATATATATATATGCTCCAGCCAGGCATGCGTGTTTAGCCTATTCCAGCAGGCCGTGATATGGCTGAAAAGCAATTCATACCCCTACCGGTGCGCGTCTAGCAAGGTGAACCCTCTGCAAAAGTGATTCAAGGACGATTTTTGCAATAACGCCAGTGAATGCGGGAGCGATCTGGCAAAATGACCAGTCTAAGATTGCAGTCCAGTAAACCCCGCCTTCAAGTCGGAAGGCAAGAGGATGAAAGTTACGAAAGTCCAGGAGTGGACAGAGGATGAATTTCTCCAACATTTCCGTTTGACCATTGACTACGGAGTCATCAACAGCAAGCCGATACCCTGTGCGGGTGCCATGCCATTCCAAGTAGAAATAATTGAGAACGTGAAGGATGCAACCGCCGTGGCGACTATCGATTTAATCAAAGTATTCTGGTTCTGTAGATGCCGCTTGAAAAAAAGAGACGAACCATAATATCCTGTCGTTCCATATCAATGGAAAGATAATGACGCCAAGTCGATTAATGCAAGGACATGCATTACTCGTCTGGATTGCCGACTTCTTGTTGCGTGCGAAAAGCATCGACGAGTACCTGCAAGTGCTGGAGAAGTTCCGTAGCCTGGTAGACATACACGGGTTAAGTTGAACCCACTGAATTGCAGCCTCTACAACACGAAAGTGAATTGGTGCGGTAGAATCATTGACGGCAAAGGAGCCCGTCATGATCCCGACCGACTGGAGGCCCAGTGCCAGATCCCATTTCCAGTGATTGCAGGACAGTTGCAGCAATTTCTTTGCACGACGAGCTGGATGAGGGACCACATCCCCGAATTTGCGCAGCTGGTACAACCACTGACGCGTCGGTTGGATGGTGCACTCATCGGGAAGAAACGACGGAAACGTATAGCCCATAGCATCCTGATTACGTTGCATCCCGAAGAGGTACTCAGCTGAAAAGCTGTGCGTGAGACCCTAAGGTCCATGGTAGAGTTCGCTCACCCACATCACGATGCCACGATGTGTTTGTTCACTGACGCCTCAAATGAGGGTTGGTCGATCATAGTCACGCAAGTCCATAACTTTGATGAGGAGATACCCATCCACAAGCATCAGTATGAAATGCTGACTTGCATGAGTGGTCTGTTTAAAGGCGCTCAGTCGAAGTGGTAGGTGATCGAGAAGGAAGCCTATTGAATCGCCCGAGCATGCAGCAAGTTAAACTACTTCCTTATGCGTCCTCAAGGGTTTCGCATGTATTGCCATCACAAAAACCTCATTCATGTGTTCGCTCAGGACGGGAGTGGAAAGCATATACGCGAGGGAAGCTGATGAGATGGGCTGACACTATCGGCGAGTACCACTACATCATAGTACATATCGATGGCAAGCTCAATGTGTGGGCCGATATGATGAGTCGGTAGGGTCATTCCCCACCTCCCAATTCGACTATACGTCTTCTGGACTACCTGGTGACAGTGCCATCTATCAGGCCATGCCTGCCCCTTGGCAGCATGTACGACCTGCGAGAGCCCGTCTCCCCCGAACTGGTGGTTCTGGCAAAGGTCCAGAGGTTCGAGAGCCAATTAAACGACGAGAAGTCTGCGTCCATTGGATGACAAAGGGTTCAACTGGCCAACAATTGCTGAGATACTCACTGCCCAACGTGACACCTCTACAAAACCACCTGCAAAGGCGAAGCGAAATCCGAATAGGAATAGTGAGCTTTGGCTTGGGCCCCGGCTATGGGTCCCATCGGACGCCGGGGTTCCCTTCTGTCAGTCGCTCTGCGTGGTGTACTACTACCGACTTCATCGTCAAGGCAAGCAGATTGGGCCGATGAGTTCGTCACAACATGACGCACCCATGCCAGAATCACGTTCCGCTGTTGTCTCAATCACGTCACATCGCTTTGGTTTCAGAAAGTTGTGTACTCCAAAATTGCTCAGACCGATCCGAATACGCTAAAATTGCTCTGTCAGGTCCAAAACAGACCTGCAAGGATATGATGTGCCGCTTGCATCAGAGAGACCGTCTTTTTGGTAGGGTGTGCCGTCCGGTTCTGGATGAACTTGTTCACCAGAGATTGCCAGGACGCTGCTTGCTTAGGAGACACGACGACAACCGCCGTGAAATGCCACAGGGTTGACAAGATGACAGTCTGGGCTAACAGACGTCGCCCTTACCTCCAAGGATATATGGACAGTAAAGGTACCGATTTGACAGTGTAACTGTTGCGAATTTGCCATTCGCAGAACTACTGGGCGCCCCCGAAGAAGTAGCCCAAGGGATTCAATTCCCTGGGGTAGTATGCAGGACGATTCGATGGGCTAATTGGACGAGTGGCTGGGATCAGCTGGCTGATTAGGGTAAGGTTAATCCTGAGTGGCTGCTTGCAGCTGGGGGAATCTACTTCGTGATTTGCCTTTGGATACGGACTTCGCGAGGTACGTCAGGTGGAGACGCAACAATTCTTTAGTTAACAAGAATGGAACAAGGTCTACCGTTCACGACCTCGCTGGCTCGTTTGACACGTACACGGTCGATGGAGACCGTGGTGACTGTGCCTTTACCTCCGCCGAACCAAGCGGCGATGGACGAGCAACGGATGCAGTGCATGGAGCGCGCTGCTGCGACATCGAACCAGATGACTTACGAACAGCTGGCGCAGTTCCATGCGCAGCAAAGTGCCATGGCGCAACGTCTGGAAGAAGAAACGGCCATGACCGCGGCGATGGAGAAGAATCGCCGGGAACAAGAAGAGTCGCGAGCGGTTCTCTCGCGACAGCAAGAGGATTTGGTGCGCCAGCACGAAGAGCTGAAGAGAGCGATGGCTGAGCAAGCCAGAGTCTCAGAAGCGCACCAAGATATGCTCCCTCAAGCATCAAATGCGATGACTCAGCAACACTACAAGGTAAAAGAGCTGAATCAAAAAGTTCGCCGCGACAACAAACGATGGGGTATATTTAAGCGACGAATAAGCGTTTTGCATTTGCGACTGGCCGAGCCGCCGAAGCGCCTCGGCTGGAGAACCTGATGGGCAGCAAGTGCCGTTGGCGCCCACGTAAAGGGAAGCACGAAGCGTGAGCGCCGCGAGTTCATGGACGAGTACCTCGCATACTCGCGACTCGTGGATGTGCTAAACCGCGGCATGGGTGGTACGTTGTTTCTGATGCCACTGGCGGCGTATCGATCAGAAGATTGTGCCGCGTGTCTGCGCACATGATTTTTGGGAAGACATCACGGAGAACGACTGGCGTGACTATTTTCTGTCTGCAGGAGAGATTCAGGAATTGGACCTCGACGCCATGACGAAGGCCATGGCGTCGTTGAAGATGGACACGAAGATTCGTGATGCCGAGTCGCGGGTGGGAAGACTGCTGGCCGACTTCTACGAGAAGTTGGAGCAACTGGACGTTGCTCACCTACCGGAGCAAGAGCCGAAGCAGTCGGTGAAGATATTGACAGCGGCGATCCGGCCGCTTCAATCGACCCGCGAAACGAACAAGGCGTACAAGTCGGACGTGCGTTCGTTTTGCCGTTGGCTTGGCCTGAAGTGTGGCAGAGACGAACACCGGGTATTCAAGTGCCCCAAGGTGCAGCCAGGTGAAGCCCAGCGTCTGTTGGATCAGCGCTTCAAAAAACCTCACGGGGCGTCATCCGCAGCATCGGAGAAGAGGAACGACGCCAAGCGCAAGTTTATTGGCGCTGACGTGGACCCCCAGGACGCGTTGGTTATTGACTGTCCACGCACGATTGCGTGTGATGTCAATGACGTGACGGCGTTGGCGCTCTTGGACAGCGGGGCCGATAAATCGGTAGTGTCGCCAACGTTCCTGGCGCGCGTCGAACATGTCGGTAACTTTACGTTGGCGGTGCGCCAACTGTACCGACCAATCGAGTTGGGCGGCTTCATGGAGGCCATGAAGCTTACAGTGGACCGCGAAGTCAAGCTGCGGTTGACGTTGACACTGCCGAAGGAACGTTGGTGTTATCGAACCTGAGTGCTGGGTGGCCGCGATGCCACTGCAAGACGGCCTGGGCGACATTATCGTCAGTCGCGACGTGATGGCGCGACTGGGATACTGCCTCATTTGTTGTTGGCGCAAACGCGGCGTGCGCAGAGTGTGTACGACCTCAATCAGCTGGGCGGCAAGGAGACCCCACTGATTGCAGCCATGAAGGTGGTTGAGACAATGAACAAGCCTACATCGTCTCCCGAAGAAGCCTCGCTCTACCCTGAAGAAGAGCGAGCTTACTTCCCAGATTTGAAGTCTGGGTGGTTGATGGAAGTCGACCAAATGGCGGTGCGAGCGAAGCTCGCAGAGAAGGTGCGCGACTGTGAAGTCGCAAGGTGCGGTGACGACTTCGCGACAAACCTGTCGAAGCTGTTGGTACGCTACGAAGACATATTTCGACTAACCCTTGGTCGAGATCCTCCTATCGACGTGGCGCCCCTAGTCGTGACGTTGAAGCAAGGCGCGGAACCTGTGCGGTGCAAGTCGCGCCGCTACTAAAAAAAGCAACGTGACTTCATGGCGAAACATGTTGCTGAGTTGGAGGCAGCGGGGCTGTGTTATCGAAAAAATCCCGCTCAAAATGGCGCTCGACACCTTTGATCGTCTAGAAACCCGATGCGAACAATTTCCGCATGACCGTGGACGTCCGTCCGGTCAACGCCCAGACGGGGCGCATCCTGCGGCCGATGCTGATGTTGGAGTTGATTTTGGATTACCTGGCCTGGTGCAGAAGTGTTCTTTACCCTTGACTTCTTCAAGGGTTACTGGCAGTTTGCGCTGGTCAAGACGTCGCAAGAAATGTTCTCGTTCCTCACGGATACGGGCGTTTACACGCCGACGCGAGTGCTGATGGGCGGAACCGCCAGCGTGGCGTACTGCCAATCGTCGAATCGTTCAAGAAATGTTCGCGAGCGAGTTGTATAAGTCGCTCTTCGTTTGGCTAGACGATTTGCTTGGATACGAGAAGTCCAAGTAAGATTTACTGGCGGCGCTCGAACGTGTGCTGGTGATTTGCCAGGAGCGCGGCCACAAGCTGAACCCCAAGAAGTGTCGGTTCTATGAGACCGAAGCTCGCTGGTGCGGGCGAATCGTGTCGTCCGCGGGCGTCAAGTATGATCACGAACGCATCAAGGCGTTGAAAGAACTGAAGATGCCGGGTGACCGGCCAAGATCTTCGGCAGTTTCTATGCGCAATGAATTTGATGCGCATGTCGATCCCAAGGTACAATGTGATTATACGTTACAGCCGAAGACGGATCTGTTGGAGTCGGTCTAGTAGGCGGCGGGCGCTCAATGGCGCCAGAAAGTGGCCAAGGTCCTCCTGGACACGTGGTCGACGAGTTCGTCGACTGTCGCTACAACGACCGTTTGGCCGCGTACGAAGTTCTGGTGAGCTGGTGCGTCCTCCAAGATATCGAAACTTGTGGAAGCCCGTGAGTAACTTGCACGAAGTCCTGCCGCCCGCATTCAAGAAGTATGTGCGGGAGAACGCTGAAGATGCCACGGTGGTGGCGATGGAGAAAGCGTTGGGGGTGGCGCAATCGTTGGTCGGGGAATGTTGCGAATTTGCCATTCGCAAAACCCCTGGGTTCCTCCCAAGAAGTAGCCCAAGGGTTTAGTTCCCTTGGGTAGTATGCCGGACGATTCGATGGGCATACTAATTGGACAAGTGGCTGCGATCAGCTGTCTGATTAGGGTAGGGTTAAGCCCCAGTGGCTGCTTGCCGCTGGGGGGATCTACTTCGTGATATGCGTTTGGATACGGACTTCACCAGGTCCGCCAGGTAGAGACGCAACACCGTGGGATACGACGAGGGCTCGTACAAGCTCCGCAACTCGTGGGGCGCTGACTGGGGCGAAGCCGGCCAAATCCGAGTCAAGCGCGGCGCGAGCGGCAAAGGCATGTGATGTGCAACGTTGCCGAGTTCGTCGTGTTCTCCAAGATTGTATGCAGCACGCCCACTAAGTCGCCGTCCCCCACGACCAAGCCCACCCCGACGACTCCTCAACCGGACGTGTGCGCCGACTGCATCGGATGCTTCTACCTTGACGCGAACCAGTGTTTGACTGCCCAGGCTGTGCTTCAAATCGGGACGATCTTTATCGTCGAAAATAAATTAAAAATAAGACGTACATCGTCAAATTGAACGCAAAAGTAAACGATATTACAACAGATGGTCGATTTTCGTGGCTATTCAAGCGAAATCAAAAGTCCCTATTCAGAGAACGGCTCATTTTCATAAAAAGATTTTAATTTTTCACAAATTCAGATAATTCGTAGCTACTTCGAGATACTATACTACTCTGGTCCACATTAACTGTCCCATTGTTTTGACTTGATTAAAGTATACTGGCCAAGCTCGAAATGTCTTGAAGTTTGTATTGGTCTCCGAAAAGCAATATTGGTCGACGATATTTTTATTGTATTTTTAT